GCGGCTTAATAGCGTTGCACTCCAACCTGATAGCAATGGACGCCAACTTAATAGCGATGGCCTCCAACTTAATAGCGATGGAGTCCAACCTAATAGCGCTGGACTCCAACCTAATAGTCCAACCTAATAGCGATGGCTCCCAACCGAATAGCGATGGACTCCACCCGAATAGCGATGGCCTCCACAGAAATAGCGATGGCCTCCACCGTAAGAACCTCCAACCTAATAGCGACGGCCTCTGACCTCAGAGCGATGGCCTCCAACCTGACAGCGATGGCCTCCAGCCCATTAGCGATGGCCTCTACCCTAATAGCGATGGCCCCCACCCTAATAGCGATGGCCTCCACCCTTGTAGCGATGGCCTTTGCCGTAGTAGTGATGGCCTCCAACCTAATTGCGATGGCCTTCAGATTCGTGAGCAATTCAGGAACGGTGTGTTCACGTTGTTTCAAGTCAAGATCCTATGTGTCTTGAAGCCTTGGTGATCAGCATCTTAGCTCAACATGCACCTGTGACATGGAGGCTTGTAGTTTGGCCATGGCAAAGCTCCTTCCAAGGTGTGTACTGGAGACATGTCCGACTCCAGAGAACAACAGGCGCAAACCAACTTGCATGTTCTGTTTTGTTTCATTATGGATTTTGTCTCAATAGATTTCGTATGTTTAGAGTGCTGTTATCCACTGCCTTCTTCACTTTCTGAAATCAAATAGGTCAGTTGAAGCGAGTTTGTGTTTTTGCCAGGAGATTGTCCGTGCAGTCTCACCGCCTCGTTTGAAGGGGTTTCGACGCATGTTTGTTTCCCTTGTCAATGGTGGTACAGCGAGAGTAGTTGCTTCGAAAGGCTGCACACTGCCCACCTGCTTAGCTTGCCAGTTCGAGCGCACTGCGCAGTTTCTTCGAAAATTTCTTTGGCCTTTCCCGCCGGTGGCCAAAGCACTTTCTGAGAATGTAACCTTCCTCAAGTAAGTCTTGTCTTCAGGCAGGCACTCTTTGTAGAAAGTCAGGATCATATTTGTAAAGATGCAGTGCCAAGGCTAGGCGGGGGCTACGCATACTTGAGGCAGGACAGAAGCTTACAGACAGCATTTACTGTTGTGATACGAATGGCAAGGAGGCAACAGTTGATTCCTGTTTGTCAGAGTCGAAGCGCATTTTCCCAACACTTCAATAGGGTCAAGACATGTCCTATGTGGAATATGCGCTTTGGAAAGAGCATAGGTATCTTGCGGGCAAGGGCGATGTTGAAGCCATGAAAGCCGGAAACCTCAGATGTATGAACACCAAGCAAGTACAATTTGATAGTCAAAACCACTGACAAGATCATCGTTGGCCTTTATGTTTCCTGTTTAGGGCATCAATTGGTGCGGTGTGGCGTATAGTATCTAATTCCCTGCGCCCAGAAGCTATTGGACATGGGTGTGCCAGCTGGTGGTCGCGATAGCCAAGATGAGATTGAGCTGGGTCCCCAGTCTCCACGTCAAGAGCTTTAATTTGTATTTGATTTGCTGCATTGAGGCAATGACATGAAGAGGGTAGTCCACAGCCAGTTCCCTTTGAATCCTTGAGTGGGGTATCGAAAACTAAGGCAGGCGCCAGTCATTTACGCTGCTAGGGAAGGCTTTGCACAAGCTTGCAAGGTCCTGGCACAGTACCAGGCAACAAGCAGACATGTCAGAAAGAACTGAATTCGTTTGTTATAAATGAGTCGCAGTCACGGGGCTATCATATGAAAGACACAATTTTCAAGATTCATGCCGCATTCCCATTTTATTTGAGGCGGATGTAAACGAAGTGGGTGGAGTTGCCCGTGAAACTGCACTGCATGTGGCAGTTCAGTGCAGGACTCAGCTCAAAATCAGTCCAGCTCGCTTTGTTTCCTCTAGCTTGACTCTGATAATCAAAGCGCTGCGGATTGTGTCAAACAAAACAAATCAGGCACAATAAAGTCAGGGTGGTGCAGACGCTGTTGGATCTTTGGCTGCAAGCATGGCTGCAGAAGTGTCAATTAAATACTTTAGTCTCAGAATCTAGAGCAAGGAGTTGCTCCAAGGGTTCTCGCAAGGAAGGGACAAGAAACTCCAGAACAATTGATGGCAAGGGGTTTCTATTTGCGCGTACTGATGTTCTATTTGCTTTTGTCACACCATGTTTGACGGCAGAACTTGCAAGCAAATCCGCAGCTTCAAGACTCTTCCGGCCAGCGTCTTAGGTTTTGAATCGCATGGTTCCAGCAAAGTTCTGAAGTTGAGAAGCTAACCTTCCAAGTAATTGGCCTGTGTTGCTTTGATTTGTCGGCTTTCCAGACAAGGTTGAAACTTGAAACTTGTCAGAATCAAACAGAGCTCAGCTTTAAAGAGGCCAAGCTCCTTTGCACAAAGCAGCTCGTGATGGAACTGCTGGGGTCTTAGAGTTGCAAGAGTCCTCAAAGCTTGACTGATGTCAGGAAACACACAAAGGATAGGAAAGAATTACTGTAGTACAGAACAACAACAAACAATCTATTTGGTGTGGAGCTGGGGTGGAGCTAGGCTGGGTAACTGTCGATAGAGCAAGAAGTTTGTGCCGATTGCTGACCATGCGGCTTTTGTCCAGCCTGCCCAACTATATGATTTGTGCGCAAAGGCTTGCAAGATTTGCTCAAATATATATATAATTTCAACGGCGCCCTGTTTTACCAAGGAGGGTCGCAAAATAAGCTTAAGGCTTAAGGAGGATTATGCAGGATTTGGTACTCCTTCCAGACTGGAGATTCACTGGATTGTTTGAGGTGAGTTGTTTGCAAACTTTGATAGCTGCGGCTGCCATGATAGATCCAAGGCAGGGCAACCGCTCGGTGCGGCCAAGTGTTGGATGGCAATCTTTTTACTTTAATCTTGCTGAAATGGTTGTTGAACTGTGGGAAAGCTGAGGATGCATGGCAGCTTTGTGCAATGAACTACTGATTCGATTTGGCTGGCCTTTGCAGGGACACTTGTGAGCAGACACCTGTGCACATAGCATGCTTCTTTGGACGAGAGCCCTTGGCTCGGCATTGCTCGACTTATTGATATGGTTCTCTTAGTGCAATGGATGTTGCTACCACATATGCAGTAAGCTTGAATGCCTTGGCTGGATGTATAGTGAGTCTGAATTTGCAGCACTGCATGACTCCATGGGTATGATATGGCATGGCAGGAGGATATTGTTTCCAAGCTATTCACAGCCCGGGCAGATGTTGACGCCCAAGCTGATTATCAGGACAAGATGGCACGCAGACAGTGCAAGAATGATATATTGAATCTTATCGAACAGCGATGCACGGAGCAATCAGAACTCCAGCTGGAGCATCAGGTTGTTGCAGAGAACATCCGTGGACAGACTCCCCGGAAGGCGTGCTCAGTGCTTTGCAAAATGTGAAACCAACAAAGGCTAGGGAAGGTCAAACAGCATCACCAAGTAATGGAGTCCAGGTGTCAGGTGTTATTCATGTCGCGACGATCACCGCCAAGCAGGTTCATAGAACCGAGTTAAAGCATGTTAAAGCCATAGTTGCCCAAGTTGGGAGGTCACAGGTTGAAGAAAGCTATCAGCCCATGCGGTTTAAACAAAAACAACTGTCAGTTTGGAAAACGGCAAAACGTGCAGAGAACTATGGTAAAGTGCACCAAAGCGGCTATGTTGGACATTCCCGGTCTGTGCAAAACATTTCCTCTGCCCTAGCAAAGCAAACTTCGGCAGCTACTTGGACTTTCTCATGCAGGGTGTTCCAGCTGTTTTTGGACTGGATGTCGCCACGTGTGCGGACTCCTGGAACCGCAGAGCGCATCTTTGTTGCAAAGAAGACATGGAGTAAACGTTAGTGGCGTCCTTGCTCCTACTAGCGATGCCAGGAGCTCCTAGTAGCTTCTTACTCCCAGTAAACGTTCAAAGGCTTGTCGGGAGAGAAGGGATCGACGTTGTTTCCGGACTCGGTGGGTTTGGGCGGCAGAGGTTTCAGACGAAGAAGCTGCTAGAGGGTTGTCAGGTGGATGCCTTGCCTCAGCAGCGCGGTTCTTTGATAACTAGTAACAAGGAGCTACTAGGGGCTCCTGGCATCGCTACTAGGAGCAAGGACGCTACTAGGGGCTCCTGGCCGTACTACTACGTAGGAACAAGAGGCTACTAGCAGCTCGGCCCAGGTTCTTAGGCCACCTTTTGCTGCCAGACGGCCCAACTGATGCAGTCACAGTGGATAGAGTCAGGCGTCGGTTATGTAGAATAGTGGCGCTCTTGACCCCCGCTTTGGCGCCACACATTCGGATGGTTTTGGGGACCTGATTTAGTTGCGTTCCCATTGGCGTTTCTATTGCTCATTGGCGTTCCTTGCGTTTCCCTTCAGGATCACAAAGGAAATGTCCGGCTTTCATGGAGGCCCTTCACTGAGGCAGCGGCATGTCCAATTTGGATCCCCAGCTCGTAGCGTTGTAAGTTGCTCAGGATGTGGGCAACTTCCAAGCTTGCGAACGCTCTTTGCCTTTTGCCAGACCCTTCTGTTTTCGAGCTGCGACAGGGCGCCTCTTCATTTGAGCGCCTTCTTCCTTCACGATGAAGCAAGCTGGCCGTGTCAAAGCCGAGTTAGGACCAACTTGGGTCAACTTGCGTTTAAGTTGAAGCCAATCGAGCGCAGCAAGGTGCGCTCAGGCAGGGCAAGGTCTGGCACAGGCCGCACTCACGGTCAAAGGAGTGGAGGGATGTGGAGGTCACCGGAGGCGTGGCGCAGGCTCCGCGGTGGCGGGCGGGAAGTCAATCCCGCGGCATCAAGGGTGGCTGCCTGGAGTTTTGCCTTGACACTCTGTGCAGCATTGTGGCCTAACACGGGAACACACCCCATGTGGGAGAAAAGATGAGACAAGATTTGATGTAATTTTTTAAAGCACATTTTCCATAGCTGAAAACGCGCTCCCTGGTGCCACCACATCAATGTGGAGACACACGGCACTTTTGTCCCGAACCTTAGACCTTAGACTGATAGGGGCCACTCTGATTGGCCCACTGGGCCCCAAGTTGGCTCAAGTAGATAAGTTTCCTAAAAGTCTAGGAACCAAATCATTAGTGCGAGCGCTTCTTCAAGGAAGCGCGAGCTGTCCTGCGTCCATACTAGTAGCTACCTAGCTACTACTAGCTACCTCTCCCTACCTACCTACCTACCTATCTGTAGCGGCCTACCCCCCCTAAAAAATTAAACAAAAAAATATGGTGTCAGTTGGAGCCGGCTTGGGCCAAGTTGGGTCAACTTAAAGTTCGGGCAACTTTGGACCGTTAAGCGACTGTCAGCCGCGCCGAAGTAGGATGCATCATGTCATACACCTAGACGGTTTTGTGCTTTAAAGTTTTTGCTGCTGGAGCCGGTTGTTTTACAAACTTGTTTTTTGTTCCGGAGTGATGAATCATGTTCTACAAACATGGGTTGGCTTCGCCATGAGTAACTATTATAAGTAGGTATTCTGGACAATCGGACAATTCAATTCTATAAGCCACACAGCCCCAGTTGCAAGTAAGGGACACTGGACAAAGACATTTGCAGGTATTTGCAATATGAATGTGTCACTGTAACACGTGTCTCCAGCACGTGGCACAAGAATCTAGGATACCCAGAGAGATTGGAATTCAATTTCATCAAAATTCAATCACTGCGTGGTCACTTCATTCTATATACGACATAGTTTTGCTGGCCTGATGAGTTTATTAAATCTGATCAAATCTTATATAGCTTTGCTGTCCTGATCAACTGGGCGAGCTGTCGCTTGTACACTTGAAATTTGGGTCGCTTGTGCACTTGAAATTATGGTCGCTTGTACACTTGACATTTGAGCACTGTCCGAACATGTCGTCACCAAACGCTTTAGGTTGGTCGGTCTTACACTGAACATACATTGAAAACCGATGAGGAAAACCCAAGACCGAGGTCTTCCATTGAGCATACATTGAAAACCGATGAGAGACCGATGCCTCTGTATCATACATCGGATAAGTACTACTACTACTACTACTACTACTACTACTACTACCACCAATAGTACTGCCACTACTAGTAGTGCATGCCACTACTACT